CTTGACTTGGACTTGTATTTGGGGAACAACTCTTAGCACCTATAGTAAGCTGCTTGGAAGAAGTTGCTACATGTTGAGGCAAAATTCCAGCTGGGGCATTTTGAATTGCAGCACTAGGAGACATTCTGGGAACAAATGCAGGAGCATGGAGGTTTAATTTGCTCGTGGGGACTGCTGCAATTTTCCCATGAGACTTTGACTTAACTAGAGAGTCAAGCTCCTCACCTGCACTCTCCTGATCCACCTCCTCGTCACCTTCTTCAGCTGAGTATCCTGCAAAACCATCGCCCCAGTCCTCCTCTTCATCTTCGTCTCGTTGATCTTGCCACAGTTTGGATGTAATAGCCTTAAGCCTCACGTTTGTTTGTATAACCTCGTTGTTATTCCCCGTTGACAACATAAACTGCCTAGATTCACCTTCTAATTCCCCAAACGACTCCGCAGATTGAGAAGGGATATCATATACGGAGGTGTTCAAAGTGACCACAGGTTGTTTCACAACAGTAGAATTTTTCATCATTTTATTCTGAGCATCTTTGATGATTTGTTCTACTTGAGGGTTGGAAAAATGCATTGTAGGTGCATTTGAACTGTGTGCCTCTGCCTTTTGCTTATCAACACGAAAAATGTCCTTCGAAATAGTGAGACGATCACCAATGTTCTTGGAATTTTGCTGCTACGTGTTACTGCGTAAAGGTTGTGGTTGCCCATTTTTTGGAGTTGTGTTCATCATCATAGCTGCTTGGGCATTCTCTACCATTTTAGCTAGCTCTGTATTGGAAATGTGCATTGTTGTTGTAGGATCATCATGTACTTGACTTGCCTCAACAATGTGATTTTTATCTGTTGCAATCCCAAGTCGATCATTTAAACCTGTGTCACCCTGCACCAGTTGCAATATGATATTCTTTAATCAAATGAACAACCCGCTCTCATAGCAGTTAATAGTACGATCAAGATTCATGTCCATTCAGCTGTCTACATTTTCTTTTTCAGTCCATCTCTCCTATCCTCATATACTACCTGAACTGAGCTTGTAAAGTTGCAGACATTTCTTCTCTTCTTACACTGGGTTTTTCTAAAATCTCCTAGTTCAAATGGGAAAAAATGCTTCCACAAAATATCCAAGCAATAACTTTTGTAGACTGAGCTACCAAATAATTTGCACGTAAAAACAAAATGTCTGATAATTTCAGAAGCTCCTTTTTCCTTGGTTTAGAAGTACGTATTTACCATATAATAAGTCATATTCATCTTTCTTTTTAATATATTGAAGGATTCAAAAGAAATAATACACTTTCTATTTCGAAGCTCATGCAGTTTCATGCAATTATTGGCAAAAACAAACCACAACTCGCATGAGTTCGTAGGTAAAAAGGGCCACAGAAAAGGACGGCCAGTTCTTTAAAAGGCGGTGACATAAACTTCAAATATATACAAGACCGTGGTGCATACCTTACTAGTATTTGCTCACACCAGGAGGCAAGAAAGAACTGATCCAGCAAATGCTACCCCTTACGATCTTATAAGTTCTTTACAAGGAGGATTTGGTCCCGACCTGTAACGCTCCTTATATTAATAAAAGTTTCAAGACACGCTAATTATATAATTAAAATATTATTATTATTTTTTTCTTGCCTATAGTAAATATATATATGTGTGTGTACACACATACTTAAATAATTGGATATACAATTAGAAAAATATTAACAATTTTAATATTATTACTTATTAAAAGTGGGTATCATTAATTATTAGTTAAGTTAAAAAAAAAAAAAGTAAAAGACTTAAAATTGGGCTTAAAGCCCATAGAATAGGTTGGACGTAAGATAAGAAAAAAAGGCTTAAAGCCTGGCACGAAAAGGGGGCAAAGGAAGTGGGTTTCAAAAAAATACAAAGCAACAATTCAATAATTAGACTAAGGGCAGAGACGAAGCAATAAGTTCCCGCGACCATTCACTCAGACAATCCAATTTCTAGGGTTCTTTACAATTCACTAATTCTTGCACTCAGGTATATAAAATTTCTTATTGTCAATTACCCTACAGTAGTAATAGGTAAGATTAAATAGTTAATTCCTTTCTTTCTCTGCATCAACAGTAAATCCTATGTTTAGGTCTGAAACTTTGAAATTAATTAAAATGCACTGGTTGTTGTAGAATCAATTGTTTGATGGGTATAAATTGGACTGGGGTCTACGTATCGGCTCAAGGAGTATTGAGGTGAGTTGACATAACTCTTTACTAAAGTGGTTTAACTCACAAAAGCACGCACACAAGGTGTTTGATGAATTGCATAAAAGAGTTAATATATACTTAATGGGAGTAGTAAGTACTTATTAGCTTAGAATTATTTTCTAGCTAAAGTTTAGATGATTATTTGGATCTATATGCATAAATTTCAGATTTTTATATTATTCTTATATGCCATTTTCATGTTGAAAACTCATGAAAGATCAAGAACCTTTATAAATACTTTTGAATGTTTATTTCATTCTTGTGTCATGTCTTACATTTAAGGATACCAGTATGAGTATGTATAACAGATTTAGACTTGAAAAGTCACAAGAAGAAGTTTTAGAAAGAAAAGATTTTTGGGGGTATCCTTTATTCTGAGAAGGGGTCATCGTCCAGGCCTAGGGTCCTGACCAAGGCGTTGACTTCCTGAAACTACTTGTGCCAAAGTAGGGAGCACATGAGCCGAGGGTCTCGTTGCTGAGAATTTACTTAGTCATACTAAGGTATGAGACATGAGCGCTGAGAACCATGAAGTGAGTGGCACCTCGTGGATTGGGCCTATTCGATCAGGTTGGGATCGAACCCGTGCCGAACACACGGTGACTGAGATAGAATTAAGGCAGGATAGTTGGAACTCCCAAAGTATAAAGTGAAGTATTTTTTTTATGAGTAAGAAAAAGAAAAGAATTTCTTTTAGAATATTCATGAACTGCTATTATGCAATTATTTTAGAATTATTCTTATAAGTTTTATGTTTTACATGCATTTAGAACCTTTGCTCATAATGTATATGTTATTAAAGTTTCGCCCCCTGTTGTTGAGACTCACTGAGTACAATGGATGGTACTGACGTTCTCTTTTGGGAACCTACGTTGATCTGCGGTACAACGTAGGAACTGGATTTGCAGGCGAGCAGGCTACGAGTTAGGACTTCCTTCTCTTCCGGTGCTATTGGTGAGCTCCGCTTTTGTTCGTGGAGTATTCCTTAGAGTCATCTTTATTTAGTTATTTCTTTGTTACTTAGAGAACTGACCAGGAAATCTCATGTCCTGAGCAGTGCGTCAGTTTATCAGTAGAGGCTTCATAGACATAGTCGTTGGGTTAAGATTCAGATATTTTTGATAATAACTTAGCAGCATTTTATTGGTTACTACGAATAAAGTTTTGAAGTTGGCTTATTTTATATATTTAAATCATTTAAAAGTATTTGGTTACAGTAGTGTTTTGTGGCATATAAAGTTTGAGATTATAATAGATTTGATAAGCGGAGATGGTCCGCTCGGTCATGTTTAGTGATCGAATGTCGGTCCCGGCTTGTTCAGAAAATGGGTCGTGACACGACCAGCCTTAACTAAGTACAAGTCATTTGTTTGGAAAAGCTCTTCAAAGTTTTCAGCCTGTAACCACTCTCAGAATAAAATGAAGATTTGCTGACTGCAGAGAGAAACCGATTAGTAACAGACATTGTTAAATTCGCATTATCTTCGATTACCAATCTCAATAAGGAAGTGTCACTTACATTCAGCTTTACTCCAAGTGAAATTAAGTCTTTTAACAAATTTCTTGTTAACAAAAAAAAAATATCCTCTTGGTAGTAAAAACAAAAGGAACAATACCTAAACAACAATTATCAGGCCTGAGCATACACTTGTCCTCTTTCACATAGAAAAATCACATAAAGAACAAAGATAAGACATTTTTGAACTATTAGACACTTAATTACCCCAAAATAAAGACTTGGTAAAGAATTATAGAGACTAAAAACTATAGCTTCAAACTCACAACCAGAACCAATTCCACTATGGCTCACACGTACAACTTTTTCCAGAATCACTGTGGGCTCCCCATAGAATAAAAGATGATCTAGACCACGTATAACTGATGCCATATAATTCTGCTGCATACTTTTATGCTATACTACTGACCCCACAAAGATAATAGAATTGATTCCTTCACGGTAGACATCTCCTAGTTCAATTTTTGTAGCATACCACGATTGCTCCGGACTAACAAAAGGGGTTTAGTGTGGAGATTCTGGTGTAAACATTTGAGTTGACAATCAGTATTTTTAGACAGCCAGTAGTCGACCGAATCAATTGCCGAATTGCTTACCACGTTCTGTGTGTTAAAAGTCATACAGCATGAATTTAGAAAAGAGAAATAGTCCATTTAGTAAACTAGTAATAACTAAAACATAATATACTAAAAAATATAGCAAGAAGTGGTAAAATGTTTCTTAACTTGCAATTTGCAATAATCATCTGTGAAACGCAATTCTAGTCCCTACACGGATTCAAAGTTTGATCTAGTATAAATTGGTCTCGAAAGTCCAACATTAATTACATCAACATCTTGGATAATTTTTCAAAGAATTTATACACTGAGTGAAAAAAAGGCAATCAGAGGCTTAGAACGGAGATTCTAGAGTGAACATTTAAGTTGACAGTAGATGTCTCTATACGGCCATAGTCAATGAACCAACCGTGCAAAATTGCTGCCACGTTAAGTGTGTTCAAAGTCAGCTCATACAGCATGAATATAGAAAAGGAAAAATCCTCCAACTAGTAGTAGTGAATTAGTCATAACTAGGATAATGTTTCATAAGCTTGCACATTGCAATAATCATTTACATAACGCAGTTCTAGAGCATAAACCAGTTCAAAATTTGATCTGTATAGATTGATCACCAAAGTCCACCATAAATTATACCAACATCTTGCACAAATTTGCAAAAGAAGCTATATACTGAGTTAAAAAAATGGCAGAGAGTGCTATATCTTATTTGATACATCAGCTTTCAACATTGCTCAATTGCGGACAAAAATTTCTTGATGGAATTCAGCAAGAAATTGTTCATATCAGGGATGCATTTGAACAAATGAGGACTTTCTCAAGAGTAGCTGATGCTAAAGAAGAAGAAGATGGTGAATTACAAGTATGGATCAAGCAAGTACTAGACCTTGCACATGATGTCCAAGACATTCTTGAAAATCATATTGTCATGTGCAACAGTTTTCCAGAAAAGGTATCATGGCCATGGAGAAAATTCCATCATTCATTAATGTCTGAGAAGTTATTTGAAGCTCAAAATGATAATATTTTAAAAGCATTGGAAAGTATAAAGGCCCGAATCATCGTCATTTCTGAAGGACATAAAACGTTTCTTCAGAAATATGGTGTTATAACAAGTGCAGAAAGTAGCAACATTACATGGTGTAATAACCATGAAGAAGTACTTCTTGTTGATGATGCAGATCTTATAGGTGTTGAAAATCATAAATCAGTACTACTCGAGTGGGTTCTTTCTGATGATCCAGAATGGAAATTGCTTTGTGTAGTTGGAACAAGAGGTATAGGGAAAACCACCCTAGTCAAGAAAATCTTTGATGATGCAACAGTCAACAAGCATTTCAATCATCATACTCTGTGGATTGATATTCCAAAATTTTCTGATGTTAAGGAGCTATTCACGAGCATGCTTGATCCACAAGATGACCATTCCCGTCGAGCACTTGAAGCCATGGATGCTAACATGTTGGCACAATTCCTTCAACTATTCTTTAAGTCATCAAGGTACTTAATTGTCCTTGATGATTTCCCTGATATTGGCACCTGGAGAGCTCTCAAATGTGCATTTCCTAGAGAAAGCTGTGGCAGCAGGATTATCATCATATCTCGTTTTGCTGATATATGCCATACCATTTGTGTGGAAACTGATGTTGGTAGTCATGTTTATAATTTGAAGCCTTTGGCTGAAGAAGAATCTTGGATTCTTTTCTGCAGAAAGGCATTTTCAGGCAGCCTATTATGTCCTTCATCCTTAATGCAAATCTCCAAAGACATTATACAGAAATGCAGAGGTCTGCCACTGGTGATTTTGGTGATTGCTGGTGCTTTGGCTACTAAAGGGAAAAGAAAAGAGGCATGGGAGATGTTCTATGACAGCCTTGTTGACAAGTTACAAGGTAGTTATAGTGAAGCCGAGCACATGAAAAGGATACTCAATCTATGTTATCAAGACTTGCCTTTCTATCTCAAGTCTTGTTTCACTTATCTGAGCATAATTCCAAGATATCATGTCATCGATAAGATGAGACTGACTCGACTCTGGGCAGCAGAAGGACTTGTTCTTGAAAGAGAAGGAAAGGCAATTGCACAAGTTGCTGGAAGCTATCTCAATGAACTTGCAAACAGAAGCTTGATCCAAGTTGCTAAAAAATACCCTGATGGAAGGTTAGCAATATTCAGCATTCATAACCTGTGGTATGAAATCATTCTTTCTAAGTCAAGGGAAAGTGCCATGGTAACTATAGCTAATGGGGAAGAAAGAAGGCCTCACAAAGTCAGACATCTGGTAATCACTGATGAATTGGCAAACGATATACAAAATATTGATCGGTTTAAGCATCTTCACTCACTAATAACGTTCGGTTCACCAGATTCTGTCACTAGTTCATTCTTGTTGAAGCTGTTATGTGGAAGTTTCAAGCTACTCAAGGTCTTAGACTTGACACAAGCCCCATTGGTAAAAATACCAAAAGTAGTCTTTGAACTAGTACATCTCAAGTTTTTGAACTTAAAGAGCACTAAGATAAAACATCTCCCAGGATCAATACAGAAGCTTGTGAACCTCGAGTTCTTGGACCTAAGGGAGACATCAGTAAACAAATTGCCTGTTGAGATTCCAAGGCTTCAACATCTTCGCCATGTCCTCATTTATCGACGTGGTGCTGGTTTTTTGCATGGTTTTTCAGCTACTGAGAACATAGAAACCCTTGCGTCCTTAGAAGTGGTGACTCTTATAAATGCCACTACAAGCACAGTGATTGAATTGGGAAAGTTAACAAGACTAAGAAAGTTAGAGATCGCGAAGCTGAGAAGAAAACACACAAGGGATCTTTGTTCTTCCCTTGACAAGTTGATCAATCTTGAACAACTATCTATCTCATCTTATGGGGTGAGTGACATTATTGATTTGCACTATCCCCTTCGTTCTACGCACTCATCCCTTCGAACATTAACCTTCGAAGGGCGTTTGGAGAGGCTTCCAATATGGGTAACATCTCTTGAAGCCTTGGCCACAGTTCATTTAAAATTGAGCAAGTTAGAGGACAATGCACTAGAAACTCTTCAAGATTTGCCCAACCTTGTAAACCTTGTGCTAGACTCGGCTTATGAGGGCGAAGAGTTGAGGTTCGGGGCAGGCGGATTCAAGAAACTGCGAGAATTATATATTTGGCACTGCAGGAAATTGAGAATAATTAAAGTGGAAGAAGGAGCAATGCCTTCTCTTGAGGAGCTTCAACTGCGCAACTGTATGGTAATGAAGGAGTTTCCGTTTGGGATTGAGCATTTAAGCAAGCTTCAACGTCTTGTGTTGCAAAATGTTTCTGAAAAGATGTTGATGACTTTGCAGCTTGAGGACAGTCAAAGTGGGGATTACTGGAAAATTGCTAATATTCCTAGAGTTCAGATAGTAGACTTGTAGAAAAACTGGAAGATAGATAGTGTTAGGCGTTTATCCAGATTTTCTTACCATAATTGGTTTTCCTATCTCGTGAAAGAAAGGACAATATATTTACCATAATTGAGTTTTTCTTTTCCTAGAAGGAAATTACAAATCTTCCATATTTGGGCAGTCCTTTTTCTTGTAGGAAAAGGTTTGGACTTTTATAAATTGAGGATCCTTCTTTCTCATTCAGTAGAATCCACAATGTAGCCATAAGGGATTTGAGAGTGGTGTTAAGGGGGAGAACTTTACGGGACAAGTGTTAGTATGTCACTTGTGTTTGCCTCTTCGTGAGGTTGTTCTCTCGATATTTTGTACTCTTTTTTTATATAGTGGATTGCTCATCTCCGTTGTGGACGTAGGTCAGTTGACCTAACCACGTTAAATATTTATCTCTTTTTGGTATATTTCTCTTTGTTGTGTGGTTTATCGTCGTTCAAGGTTTGGTTTGCTAGCTTCCGCATGACACCTAATTTTTTTGGTCCTTACAAGTGGTATCAGAGCGAAGTTCAAGACAGGTTCATCTTGGCGGGTTCAGTTCTAGCCGCAACATATTTTGACGATTATCGTGATTTTTTTCTGAGAAATTTGACTAGTGTGCTACGCACGTTGAGACAAACTTAATGGTGGAGATTTGGAGATGCGGCCTGTTGAAGGCTATATGAAAAAGGTGGATCAAGTTTATTTTGTAAAAAAATTCAGGTCAAGGGGGAGAATTGTTAGGCGTTTATCCAGATTTTCTTACCATAATTGATTTTTCTATCTCATGAAGGAAATGACAACATATTTACCATAATTGAGTTTTTCTTTTCCTAGAAGGAAATTACAAATCTTTCATATTTGGCCAGTCTTTTTCTTGTAGGAAAAGGTTTGGACTTCTATAAATTGAGGATCCTTCCTTCTCATTCAGTAGCATCCACAATGTAGCCATAAGGGGTTTGAGAGTCGTGTTAAGGGGGAGAACTTTACGGGACAAATGTTAGTGTGTCACTTGTGTTTGCCTCTTCGTGAGGTTGTTCTCTCGATATTTTATACTCTCTTTTTATATAGTGGATTGCTCATCTCCATTGTGGACGTACGTCAGTTGACCAAACCACATTAAATATTTGTGTCTCTTTTTAGTATATTTCTCTTTGTTGTGTGGTTTATCGTCGTTCAAGGTTTGCTTTGCTAGCTTCCGCATGACACCTGATTTTTTCGGTCCTAACAGATAGGACTGGAATTATGCAAAAGAAGAGAAACAAAGTCTTACTGATTAGCACCATGTTTCTTTGTTAATTCAGATTCAGACTCCTGAAGATTATCAATGGAGCTCAAAAAATAACTCTTTACTTCTCATTTCTCATTCTTAGGTTCAGATTCTCATTTTCAGGTGTAATCATTTAGAAGCAACTTTATCCTTAACCTGGTTATTCGCGTTACCATATAATAATTCGCATTAACTATTGTCCTCCTATTCAAAAGTTCATGTACTTTCAAGCTATTATTGAAAAAACAAACCACTAAATCAAAGGAGGAGCAGAAGGGCAGGTAAGAGTATGTAAAAAGGGGTCATGGACAATGAAGCATGGTGGCCATTGCATCTCCATATTAGAGTTCTTAAAAAGTGTTAAATGAAAGTCAAATATATACAACATACTATCACATAGCTTACTAGTATTTGCTCACGCCAGGAAGCAAGCAAGAAACTCCATTTCCCACCTCCTAATTGACCATGTAAACTTGCACGATTAACCTACCAGAGTACATGGTTTTTTTTTCCTGTAAACCCATCTGTTGAAACTCAAACAAGCCAAAGATTAGAGTTCGTAGCCTGGGAACCTGGAATTTTCAGGCGTAAGTAAGTCGAACAAGAAGCAAGCAACGCCGCCTAATCCTTGGAAAAGAGAGTAGGAATGATCTGCTTCATTATGATGTCTTTCGTTCATGATTGTCCTCGCATTGTGATATAAGCAACTTGCAAAAGATCTTGCTCTTTCTTCATATATGCTTTCACCGGTTAGACGGAAGAGTGAAAGGAAGGCGTAAGCATTTCCAGACGCACCATCAGCAAGTCCTACTTTCTTCACCAATCCGTTTTTCCACACTACCTCTCCACCTTCTATGGCAGCATCACGAAACTCCCTATCATTTGACAGTACCTGCAGCACAAGAGAAAACCTGAGGTCATTCTTCGTTTCTCACAACTCAGACTCACCAAATTGTGACAATATGATACTTTTTGTTTTATCTTTGTGGATTTTCAATAGGGGTCGGAGCAGTAGCAGAGTTAGGAATTCTAACAAAAAGATTCAAAATAAAAAATACATGAATGCCACACCTAGACCTAAAGCAATTTTTGACCCACCTAAAATGCTACAATGTCGCATCTAAAATATTAATCAATGCCAAAGCAATTTTTACACCACATTTTTACCGCCACTCTTCATTATTTCAAAGAATCAACAATTTATAAACGCAAAAGGAGGTTTGTTACCCTATGTACATAATACAATTTTTTGGCAAAAGGAATTCATATAGACCTCTGCATCCACCTAGCTCCACACTTGGGGTCGGAGGATCCCAAGAGACGAGGTGCTTCCCCACTTTTACAATCTCAGAACCTTATGAGAAATCCACGTATTGGTCTGGAGAAGCTTGGAAAACCGAGTTTGAAAGAACAGGGAATACGAACATGCTTGTCATTATTAACTTAGGTTAAGTATTTTCGTTGAATACATCACTGATTATAACTTCTACCGAACAACCAAAAACTCTGCTCGAGTATTATAGGTACTAACCTCAGATGCTTTGCACATAGTAATGGTGATGCCTGTAGCACCGTGAGACCACTGAACCAGCTTGTCTCTTGGATTCCCTTCACTGACAGGATAATTGCCACTGTGGGGAAACCTGTTGCTCATCATGTACCTTAAGGTCTCCTTAACATCTTCAATATCTTCTTGAGAGACCGGAAAATGAAGTAACACGTGCAGAATACCAGCAAGGCCGTGAGCTGCGCCCCAATACCTTGTCCCGTGCCATCTATACATCAGAGGGCACGCTGGGTTATCAGTTGCCCCTGCTCTCCCTCCTTCTAATATAGCTTCGACGACAGGCATGAGATATTCATCTGGCACTGTCTCCTCCCCTAGGTATTTCCTGATAAATAATGCTGCCCACAAGAAGCCAGCTCGCCCATAAAGGAGATCATATGACATTCCAAAACCTCCATCTTCAGGTCCAACAGGAAGGGCTCTCTCCTGCGCCACCTGAAAATAACAAATTGGAGAAAGATTTAAATGTTGCTCCGAGCAAGGCTGAGCTAAACTACTGCAGTAGCAGAGGGATATCTGGACTTATATGATATATAGGCTAAAGTAATAAACATTAACATTAAGAAATTCATCACTGCATTAGATGCTGAAGCAATTACAATTGACAGTATGTGCTTCCATATCGAGAACAAACAAGTGCTAATGTTGAGGATTCTCAAGCATATTTTATTAGCTGACTGCCCAAGCAGATATAGAATACTTTATCGCTAGCATGGATTTAACAAATGTTTTTTCCTCATCACTAGGTCAAATTTTTTTCTTACTGAGATAAGCTTAAGTGAAGAGTCAACAAGAATTCATATAGTTGACCCCAAATAGTTCAACTTGTTTGGAACTAAGGCATAATTGTTATTATGTGAAGTAGGCTGTGCAAACTGTAATATCCCTTCAATAACTTCTTGAACTTACAAATAGTTGATGACTTAAAGGAACATAGTTGTTCTTGAAACTCATAATTTATGCAGTTGTCTTATGAACTTGTTATCCTAAAGTTAAACAAGAATCTATAAACAAGTAAGCTATATTGCTGATATTGGTTATATCAATGTGTTGTTGATATACAGTTCAATGAAGAGCAGTTCAACGAATCTTCACTTTAAATTTTCCGCTAAAAGTGGCCAGTAAAGTCATTTTGCGATTCAATAAAATGTTGTGGAGTAGATAAATGGTGAGGACAAGCTCCTTTTAACAAATTTCATGAAACAAAACGATATCTTTACTCGATAGGTAAAAGCAAATGACTCTAAGCAACAACAGGTCTCTGAGCTAAATCATCATCATAGCTAAGAAATAATTCAACACAATGAACACTCCTCAACAAGTAGGATGTGACACCATTCACAAACTTTTGGTCTCCTAGATAAAATGAGAAATTACGATGATACATTATACAATAATATTTTGGCCAAACATATCTCAGAACAATTTGTATCAAATTTGCAGGTCCCTAACACTAGCTTCCCTTAGTTGAAAAAGACAGGCCACATGTCTCGTCCCTGGCTGTAGATCAATGAAAGATAACTACAATCACATACCATTACTCTATGTACGTATATCCCCATATTCAGTGAAGCAACTCATATGAAATCAATGAACTGCCCCGTTGGATAGTTAAAGAAGTTTTTTCATATAAACAAGTATTGTTGCCTCAAGGAAATCATAATAAGGTTTGCTGGTACCTCAAGGAAATGGTTCAAATACAAATCTCGTTTGTATAGGTCCCCACAATAGTTGGCAGCAACAGCACCAAGAGCATATACCCCTCCTCTTCCACACAGAAAAGTCACATGCCTGGTCCCCAAAAAAGTAAAAAGATAGTAAGAAATACTTTATTTGAAGTACTATTAGATATTTAACGACCTTCAAATTTCAATAAAGATTTGGTAAAAGAATCCACTACGACTTGCACATAAAGCTTTTTTTCAGAATCACAGTGGGTATGTGCCAAATATTGTACCATTCCACAAAGATATAGACTTGATTGCTCCAAGTTATACATCTACATCAATTTTTTAGCACATGTTTTTTGAGAAATCTTAAAGTCGATATTTCTGTACAAAAAAGCATCTGATTTTCAAGCTCTAGAGAATGATGGAGACAATTCTTGCAAGACAAAACTACAGTATCATCCCAGATGTGATTCTTTTGTCCTTAATTTTAAAT